ATAATAATAATTTTTAAGACACTTACAGGCTGCAACCAGTAGTCTCTTCGAGATGTTCTTTTCTTCTCCTCTTCAAGCTACAGAACAAAAACAAATAATCACCATTTACTTCCTCTTTTCATTGCAGCTTTCCCATGCCTTTGAAAAGCTGAACCATTTCTCCAGGCCCACATCAAGTGGGAATAAAAAAAAAACAAAAAAAAAACCCTTAATAAGGGTAAGTCAGTGTGTGCTTGCTGCATAAAAATCAATCTGATGAGATCCAGAAATCCATGATAATATGATGGAGATTTACGTTCGGTTTTTGTCAAGTGTTTCTAGATATTTTCTTCTCTTCCAAAATCTGTATTCCTTTACTTCCAACATCTCAGTCGTCTGGGGAATAGGCACAGATGAGCAGCAGAAACCAGTTTTAATGGGGAAGTGAAATCATTTTGCCTGGTAAGATATGAAAGTCTGAATTCCACACGAACTGAAGGTCTGAGGTCACTTCAAAGGGACGCCCTGGTAAAGTGGACATTGCCATAGGCATGGGGTTACAAAGACACAGATCCTGCATGATTATTACCTCCATGATCTCATCCAGTGCAGATTTCTTCTTTTTCTCTTTGGACTGACCAGAGCTATGAGCTGATTCTTTTCTTTTAACTGCCCCTTCCACCATCTTCAGTGCATTCGGTCCAAGGACACTGCTGGAAGAGTAAGATGGTGTTTTCACAGCAGACCTTACATTGTTTCCTCTATCAAGACGCATTTGAAGAACTGGTTGTGCAAAAAGGCCTGCTGATCTATTTAATTTCAGTTGTGCAAGTCACCTTCCAGACCCTGCATGCGTCCTTCTCTAGGACTGCATTTGGCAGCTAGAACTGAGCTTCTTGAGGTGTAAACTCCATGTCCACTGACGTTTGCTGCTAGCAGTCCAGCAGAATGAAAACAACCTAACCATCAGTTCACAAGGGCAAAAGCAAAGAGTTGATCGGGGACTTGAGTTCAATGGAGAAGCTAAAAGCAGGTCTGCAAATAAGATTTTCAAATTCAAAAGGACAAACCTGGGGCTTTAGAGAAGCCACCTGGACAGAGCAACTCTCAAACATGGTAGACATCTAGAACTCCTTCCAGACAGAGATACTTAACCTATCCAGCAATAGAAGAAAACACACGGGAATCTGTAGAAAAGGGCTCCATCACCCAGCAAATAAACACCATTGTCACAATCATATTCAAAACAGGCAGCCTATGAATTATGAAAGAAAAGAAAAATCAGCACAAAATGTTACATCTCAGGGATCAGGGAACATCTGAGTAAAGTGAGAACTGCCTAAAGGCAGCCTGAGTTAAGCCATTTTTATAAAAGACATTTGAATGCCATAAAAAAATTTAGGTGTTCTCTCATCCAGAAAGATAAAGAAGGTGGCTGTGAGGTGGACAGTAAGGTAATATTAATATGGCCTTACAACAAATCGCATGTTCTGCCGGTGGTGAGGGTGTTGGATATACTTGCAAAGGGAAGATACGTAATGGGAATGAAGACACAAAAATGGCAGCAGAAGCAAAATTGAGAGAAAAATTGTATTTCAGATGAAGTCTGGATAATCTCCATAGCAGAGTTCTAGAAGAAATAGCACATTAAATCACAAATCAAATAGCAAGTACTTAAAATAACATCTCATAAAGGGTAACATACAATTAAAATGTGACAACTGCAGTGCCTGTATTTAAGAAGGAAAACTTATCTAGCTGTGAGGTTACTAAGGGATTCCTGGGTGTCAATAGTAAAACGAATCTATTTAACATATTCATTAAGGACCCTGGGACAACGAGTGAGAGACCACCAACGCTGTTCAGGTGCATCATCAATATGGAGGACACAAGAAAGAACCGGACACTAGAAGGGACTTGTTTATCTTGAAAACCATGTTTTAAAAACCACAAAATTCAACAGCACATTATGCAAGCTCACATACTTTGAAAAAGGTTGCTCTGATTACCTTCTATCTACTGGGAGCTGTTTAAGAACAACAAAAGCAGAAAGGGGTCTGGCTATAGTCACAGATGACAGCTACCTGTGTGGACCAGTCATGAAAGAGCCAAATGCAATCCTAGGAAGCATCATGACAGAGAAGCATTAGTGCCTTGTATAAGCCATGGCGATGTTTCATTTGCAGCATGCACAAATTTGATCAGCTCCCCTGTTCAAGATTAGCTGAAACTGGAACAAGGACAAGGCAGGGATATTCAGTGGATCAGGGGAATGGGGAGATGAGGCCAGCACCGTGCAGGCCTGCTTGTACAGCACAGTGAAGGCTGAGGGGCTAAAACTGTTCTCTGTGTTGTCTGAGAAAGCAAACACCAGGGAGAAAAAGAACTATTTATGTTAAACGCCCATACCAACTGGTATAAACTGGCCATGACTACATTTACCTGGGTAATTACAGACAAGGTCCTCACCATCAGAGCAAACAGGTTTTGAAGGATCTTCCCTTGGGATTATAGGGCTGGGGAGACCCTAACTGTGTACAATGGAGGCTGATCAGTGTGCGGACAGGACTGTACACTGGTACACTTGCAGTACTGCAGACAAGAGTCAGTGACTTTGATAATAATTTCTGCTCATTCCTTAGTTAGAAGTAATTCTAATCTTACTTGTCCACTGAGTGAGTTAAGCAGGGATTTGAGGATGTAAGTTCTTGAGGGGAAAAAAGTAAGCCCAGGGCTCCCAGCTTGCTCAAGGGCAGTCGGCATCAGAAGCCGTGCCCGCAGCGGCAGCGGTGACTCCCAGCTTCACGTCGGCCACATGGATGCTCAAGGGAAGGCACACCTCCCCTTCTCAGCAAGGCTCCAACTCCATCTCTGTACCCAACTACCAGTATCCCCATGCCCTCGAAACTCCACTACCATCCACTACCTACAATCTCCTGGTCCTATTTCTGCACCCTGCTCAGGAAATACAAGCACCAGGTTTCTGTAGCTTGTGCTGCGAGCATAGGTGGGAAGCCGGGAAGTCCTACTGCATGCTGCGCTGGGGTACTGGACATCAGGTTGAACTCAACTGATCCTCAGTAACAGCCAACAGCTGCAGAACATACCTTTACACTGACACAGGGAAGCAGTTTCCATATATGACTCTGAAGTGATTCCTGTATCACCAGTGACACGTAAACCACCATCTGGTCACTTTACCATGAAGTGGGTATCCTAACTTTGCTTCTACATTACCATTACAAAGTTTACAGACAAGTATCTCTCATATGCTATGAAAAAAATTAGACTACTTGATACATGATTTCACATTCAGCCAAATTTTAGCAAGCACCTTAACTATTCCTCACTGAAACTATTCAAATGGGTGTCTGAATTAAGTTTCAGACTCATCTTAAGCACAACTCAATGCTTAGGGATACTTTACAAATTTTCCTCAAAGCCTGAAATCTGTATCTGTTATTGAAATGAACTACTTTATTGTCTCATTTTCTACCTGGCATATCTCCCATCAGATACCTTATCTGAGAGCTGAGCTTGTGATGAGAGGAAAGCTTTCGTTTTACTTGCAATACATTTAATTACAATATTGCCTCACATGAAAAGATGTACTGCTCATCAAACAGTTTCACAGACTGCTATAAGTCAGTATTGTTTGCATTATTGATCCCTTTTGTTCTGTGCTGCTCGTGGCCATATGATGACAATTAAATTAATGAGCTTTAGAAAGACTGACATCAGGTAGATTCAGCTTCTTAAATGATGATCAGAGAAAGTATTACCTCCAATTAGAGAAGGCAAGCAACCCTTGTAGGAACCAAAATTAACAAGTCATGAATACCCATTCATAGACGGCAGCTGGGACTAGATGGCATTCACTTCAAATGTTTTGACTGGATCCCTCATCCACCCTTTCACATACCAGTATCTTCTCAGAGGAACCTGCAACTGCCTGTTACTTTAGGGGCATCTGCCATGAACCACAGTGAATTCAGGAAGGCTCCTCACAGCACACATTTAAGATACACCCATTCATCCATTTTAAATACAAAAGGAACCATGAAGTCACCTAGTATCCCCTCCTGAATAACATGACAGGATGAGATATTAGACTCCAAATATTTCAGGACAAGATATATCTTCCTGCCCATGCAAATATCATTGTCATACAAGTGCTTTGCAACAGTAAGGGTTGCCCTTAAATTCTTTTCTCACCTTGTTTTAGAAGATGCTGCTATTGAAGTACTTGCTCCTTTGTTTAAATTAAATGTAACTAAAAAATAAAAAGACATTACTCTATTTCTATCTTTAAAAATAACTGCATTAAAGGATGTTACGATTTTTAAAATCTGCAAATGGAAAAGATCATAAACTTGAAAATATTCACTAATCTATGTTTTGGTTCAGCTTTTAAAATAAATTACTTTGAACTTTATAAGAAAGAATAGTCTGTATTTCCATATTCCAGTGCTCTTTATAACTGATCTCAAAGCAGTTTATGAAGCACCGAACAAGCCTCAGTGCTCATCTCGTTTTAATCACAAAATCAGTTTCAGTAGGTTCTAGAAAATTACATATATCAAAATCTGGTTACCTTTTTCTTCTTCATTTTCTCTGTTCAGTTCAGTATAGACTGGCTTTTCCTGACAAAAGAACACAAAACACGTTTCAAGAGTCAAACAGAAAACCGAGCCAAGATATCATTTTTTGGTGATCATTGATTAGCTCAGTTTTACAGACTGCTGTGAGATTATTACAAGTAAGTATAATATTCAACCTGGCTTGATTCATAGAAGATTACAAATTGAAAACATTATCTCATTACAGGCTCCTGTGCAAAATTCTCTAATTAACACTCTCTACAGAGATGCTGTCTAAACTTGCTTGATTCCAGCATGAAAGGAAAGTGGCCTTACTGTAGCAGTTTTCTCTATTTGAACCAGCATGATTAGACTGGTTTCTGGACAGACTGATAACCCAAAGAAGGAAATTCTGGAATCTTTCCAAATTTTTAGCACCGAAGGCTCAGACCATTTAAATTTCAATTAGTTTTAAATTAAGAAAAAGATAATTGTTTACAACAGCATTTAAATGTACCTATCAATACCCAGGATCAAATGGGAGGTTCCAGTCCCAGGCAACAACATGTATGGAAGTCATGGAATGATGCCAAATAAACAGATCCCAAATACCACACCAGCACTACTACCACACCCCCTAAAAGTTGTGAAATACCATAAATGAAGACGTGTCATGCTGGTTACTGTATTGTTTGCTCTCCCCTCCTAAATTCAAGAGTGATTTTTAAATCATTGATCACTTGAAGAGCAGTAATTATTATCCCTTTAGTTCTAAAGCAAGCCAGGTACAAAGCAACTCCCAAGTTTTCCTCCAGAGTAGGTTACAACCTATAATAACTGTATAGTAGAAAACTCAGAATATAAGTGAACTAATGTGGTGATTCAAGCATGGACAAAGACAGCCTAAATCAAAGCCTGAAACGGCCAGGATCAGACACTAGGGCCACAAGATACTATTCTTGTAGATTTCAAAATCACATCAAATCTAAAAGGAGCTGAAACCTCTGCTTTCTTTTATTTATTTATTTTTTGAAACTGTGATTCCATAGAGGACCTGCACGTTCATCAGCTAGCTGTAAAAACCACCAGCAAGTCGGTTAGTCAAGGAAATGTAACAAGCTGCAGTTTCAACCGAAACAAGTTAGTTAAGGCTGATACCAGAAGTATCTGGGAGAAGACTATTCCTTGTGGCTTGGAAAAGAACAGCAACGCAGCCAAATATGCCCACTGTTCCCCAGTTTGAACTGGTGATGAGCTCGTAACCTGAACGTGAAGCTTACTTATCACCTTGTAACTGGCTGCAAAGGAAATACCAGTGCAAGGATCCCAGCAGCATCGAATTCACCATTAACTTAACCAAGAGGAGTTTTGAGCTGAAGGTTGACATACAGTGCAATTTTCCTCACCAGTTCTTTCCCCTCCAAACCTCTTCTAACTTGTTGTTCAATGAATTTAGCAGTTTTTTCTTCATCATCAAGGTCCTGTTTCTTCTTCCTCTCTTGTTCTTGTTGCCTGCGAATAGTCTCTGGGTCCCTATCAATATATTGAATATACCAGCCTTTTGGAGTCTCATCAACCTTGCAAAGACCTACAAAGTCAATGCAAGATAAAGTAAGATTAATACTCACAAAAGCAAGCAAGGGATAAAGAAAATATCAAGATCATTTTCACCGTCCATGTTCACTATAACAATGCAGATACTTTACCAGAGACAATGTACCCCTTACTGACCTGGTAAAATTGATATTGAATTATCTTTAGTGTCTGTTTCTGCCCTTCAGCTACCCAATTCTATCTGGAAATATGCCAGAGTACATAATAAAGTGGAATGTTTCATAATACTTCCCTTATTGAAGCAAATGTTTCCTTCCCACTGTTTTAATAAGGAAGAAAACAGAAATCTAACATATATAAACAATACACGCTAATAGCATCACACTAAAGGAAATTTTACCATGCTATGCTATTGTTACTAACTCTCGCTAGAGTGACTTTTCAAACACTATATGACTCATGAATGTATCCTGTAGGACACAGGCAATCGGAGCCAAAGTAAACTTTCTGTCATACCACAGTGCCATTTAATCTCTCTTCCTCCCACTGAACACAAAACTGCAGATCTCAAGCTTTAACCCTTTCACTAAGCCAGGAATGAAGACAACTGCTCGCTTCTCGTCACCTTAAATACTGAAGGATTCTGTAGTCATAAGAAATGTTCTATCATAGTTTTTAAGTTTTAAATGGCAACTGTTGGAAGTTGATTTAGAATTTAGCAATACCTCCAGTAAATACAGACCAACGGATGAAACAAGGAAAGGTTCATGATTGACGCATTTATCCCAGACTTCTGACATTTTTCATAAGCAAATTCCTAATGGTTAGCAGAGAAATATGTTTGGACATCTGTTAATATATATACAGGAGGGGAGGGGAAGAAAGAAAAAGGAAATGGGAGAACTAACATAGAAGTTTACTGATGACTTATCAGCAATGCAATTACCCAATAACTGTAAAACTTCCCATCCCTGAGCAACTACATTTACCTTCTCTCCCCAGCCATTTAGTAAAATCAGTAAGTGTCTCCCACTGCGTGGCATTCATGTGGATGTGTTCTCGATGACTGATATATTCATTGTACACAATATTATTGTGGACTCTCTTTGTTCCTGAAATACAGAATTATTATTATTATTAAACAGAAATATGGGGCCTAGGAGAAAGCAACCAAAACTTCTTGCACGGAACTAATAAAAGACATTAAAAACAAACAAACAAGCAAACAAACAGTAAAATATTTACCAAATCGCCTCCTGAGCAGTTCTAGGAAATCATTTCGGAACTCCCTTAGGGGAAAAAAATAAAGTATTTCAGTAAAACTTTAATGATTACAAAGCAATTTTCTATTGTCATTACAATTACATATGTGCAGTATAAAAATGCATACTCTTTTGAACTAAGCATAATGAAATTCAGACACTCATTTCCCTTTTGCAGTAACGTAGCATTAAATGCAGTATTTATGCAAAGAAACACAGTATGGTACCTCCACATACAAGTTAAATCTTCAAAAGGATAATACCCTTTCTAAAGGCATAAAATGGAAAGAACGAAATCTAAACATTTCCCACTAATTGCTGGTATCTCATTACCAGGTATCTTCCCAGGTTGACTGACACAAAACACACGGCGGGACAAAGGGCAGCAGTGGCAGATGGGGTAGATTGATCACTCATCTCACTGCTAATTCAAGGGCTTGAGTATAAAGCCTCGCTTCAGACTCGTGCTGAAGACAGTTCCAGTCAACCCAGCTGTCATGTAGGTCAGCTGGACAAAGGACTGGGGGAAACTGTGGGACGTTAGTCACACCCCTGACTTGTTCTCTCTCGGTAATGGTTCTTTAAGCTCTTTGTAACTCTGCCTGTGTGGCAGTCGCTTAGCTGGGGCAGAACAGCGACGGACTGTGTAACACAGAGCAACTTAAAACGGGACTCAGACACGGGATAAAACAGTCAAATTTAATTAAACATCATGGCCGCCTGAAACCTCTTACATGCATTCGACAGTGACATCGCCTAAATTTTCAAATTGCCGTTAAAAAAAGAGCTGACACTAAAATGTATCAGAATAAAGTGTTTTCAATGGGACGTGATTGGGCCTCAGAGGTATGGCTGTGTAGATCTGATACAGGAGTGAAGATCTGGGTAAGAACATAGAGCAAACTTACTCAGAAAAGTAATCCATGAATTGCTGAGGATTTTCAGAAGCCAGCAGCAATTGCCTCTGGTGGGACTCAGACATGCAATGACATTTGAAGCCATTCTATCAAATAAAAAGAAATATGTTGTCTGTCTTTGTCTCAATTTGCAACACTTACACAGCTGAAGAGCATTAAAAATAACATTTTATAAGTTATATTTCTTGGAGGCTCCACAGCAAACACCTTAACTCAGCCATAGCCTATACACGGTGGTTCCGCCTCCTGATCGGGCAAGCCAGAAACAAAACTCTTCCCGAGGCCAAGAGCCTTAAGACAAACTGTGAAAGGGGTTATGAGACAGGACATTGCAGCAGTCCTCTTCATCCTTTGTGCAACAGGAAGACGTGGCACCACCCAGGTCCACCCTGGACCCATCCAGGTGCTTGTGCGAGAGCACTGGAAATGTTTGCTGGCTCCCTACCTGACCAACAGTGACGCCAAATGTGTGTAAGGAGGGGATGGTGTCCTGGGAGTGCTCAAGCTACGGACTGTGATAGTACAGCCACCTCTGGCACAGGGTTGAAGTCATCAGAGCTCCCCAAAAAGCACCCAGACACATGACGTTGACCACACCCTTTTTTTTTTGTCTAATACAATGCTCTTTCACCACAATATGATTAAATCTACAGCAAATTTCATTCCATGGGAGGCCTCTCCCCCCTTACAAAAAGATCTGGTTATAACACAGTGAATCTTTTTTACTTGTAGTCACTGGGAAGAGAAAGGGATTTGAGCTTCTTGGGTGAAAGGAAGAGGGGGGCAGAAACAGCTGAAGAATGAGACAATTAAGCATCCACAGGATGCTTTACTTCTCTAAGGCACATTAAAGAGGCTATTCATAGAGAATGAAAAACTAAAAGCACAGTTAGCCCAGGTGGAGGTACTTTTGGAGCACAACTGGTAGAAATCAGGAAGAGGACACTCACATCCCACAGGCATCTGCGTCCAAGTAAACAGACAAGTGAAAAGAAGAGGAGGAAGCTTCAGGGAAAAGGCATCTCTTCATAACAGGAGAAGAAGGGAAGAAACCACGACAGAATCAGAAGGAAGGAATCCTCAGTACAAGAAAGACATGGACCTGTTGGAGCGGGGCCAGAGGAGGCCACAAAAATGACCAGAGGAATGGAACACCTCTGCTATGAGGAAAGGCTGAAAGAGCTGGGGTTGTTCAGCCTGGAGAGGAGAAGGCTGCAGGGAGACCTCATTGCAGCCTTTCAGTACTTAAAGGGGGCTTATAAGAAAGATGGGGACAAACTTTTTAGTAGGGCCTGTTGCGATAGGACAAGGGGTAATGGTTTTAAACTAAAAGAGGGTAGATTCAGACTAGATATAAGGAAGAAATTTTTTACAATGAGGGTGGTGAAACACTGGAACGGGTTGCCCAGAGAGGTGGTAGATGTGCCATCCTTGGAAACATTCAAGGTCGGGTTGAACATGGCTCTGAGCAACCTGATCTAGTTGAAGACGTCCCTGCCCATGGCAGGGGGTTTGGAATAGGTGATCTTTAAAGGTCCCTTCCAACCCAAACCATTCTGTGCTTCTATGAAGAGACCTCACAGTGCTCCAGACATGCATCCCCTTGGCCTTGTCACCGCACCCACCCTGTCCCCAAGGGAAATCGTGGCTACCCTCAGCTTCCCCTCTGAGGCGGATGGAAGCCACCTAATTCTCAACCCCATCGATCTCTCAACCCCCTGCCCCTCTCCAGGGGGTTTGGGGCCACTCTGTGCTCCCCCTCACCCGGGGTTGATCAGTCACTCTGCAGGGGATTGAACGTCCCCAAAGATGGATCAGGGCCAACATGCTTTCTCCAAAGTGGATGAGGACTCCTCCCATGGGGGACTGGAGATCCCAATAGGATCGCCCCACCCCCAGCAACTGGGAACCCTCCAGGTCCCACCAATCTGCCCCCAAGGGGACCGTGGTCCATACAAGAGGAACTGGGGACCCCCAAAGGAGAACAAGGGCCCTCTCCAATGCTCCCCTAAATAGAGTCAGGGGTCCCCGTGCTCCCACCAAGTGGGGCTGCTATGCTCCCTAAAGGATCGCACCCCACAGATAGGGATCAGAGCCCTCACAAGCAGACTAGGGACACTTACAAGAGGAATCTGGGCCAGCCCTGTACCCCCACAAGGGGACTGGGCAACCCACAAGAAGGTTATGAGACCATATACCCCCTAAGGCGATCGCAGTTCCCCACAAGAGGACCGGGGACCGCAACAAGGGCGACCGGAGCCCCCCCATGTCCCCCTCAATGGCACCGGGGACGCTTCCAAGGGGGATCCAAACCCCCCGAAGAGGACTGAGGACCCCAGCCGCGGGGATCTGCCGCCCCTGTGTATCCCCAACGGAGCTGCCCCCTCAAGGGAACCGGGCTTCCCTACCAGGGGGGATCGGAGCCCCCCGTGCCCCCTCACAGAGGATCGCCCGCCCTCCCGCCCTCAGAGATCGAGGCCCGCCGCCCTCAGGCCCAGCCGCCGCCGGGGCGAGCTCACCTCATCACGGCACTGCTTCTGGCACATCTGACAGTACCAGCGCAGCTTCTGCAGCCCCTTGGACTTGATGCGGTTGGCGATGGCCTTGGGGCTGAGGAAATCCGACTTCCCCATGGCGGCGACGCCGACCCTCCGCCACCCCCGTCCCGCTCCCGACACCCGCCGGAAGGGA